AGGAAGAAGTTACCGAAATAGACAACACCATGATGAAGCGACACCAGCAATAAAAATCATGATAAGAGATGTATCAACTAGTAACACTAACGACGAAACTATTACACACCTAAAGAAAGAAGAATCTAAATATTAGTAATAAGACAATAATGCGAAAAAAAAAACAAAAAAAGAAGTGCCAAATAAATGAAGGAAGAAGTCACCGAAATGGACAACACCATGATAAAGCAATACTGGCGATGAAAATCATGATAAGAGATGCATCAACCAACAATACCAATGACGAAACTATTATACACCTAAAGAAAGAAGAACTTAAATATTAGTAATAAGACAATAATGCAAAAAAAAAAACAAAAAAAGAAGTGCCAAATAAACGAAAGAAGAAGTCCCTGAAATAAATAACACTATAATGAAGTGATACCGGCAATGAAAATCACGATAAAAGATGCATCAACTAACAACACCAATGACAAAACTATTATACACCTAAAGAAAGAAGAACCTAAATATTAGTAATAAGACAATAATGTGAAAAAAAAACAAAAAAAGAAGTGCCAAATAAATGAAGGAAGAAGTTCCCGAAATGAACAACACCATGACGAAGCAATACCGGCTATGAAAATCACGATAAGAGATATATCAACCAATGACACCAATGACAAAACTATTACACACCTAAAGAAAAAAGAATCTAAATATTAGTAATAACGATAATGTGAAAAAAAACAAAAAACAAGAAGCTTATTCAAACTAAAAAAAAAAGCTTTTGCCATGCTAAAGCTGCAAAAAAAAAAAACAAAGAATAAAAAAGCAAAAAAAAAAACATTAAAATCTAATCTAGATCTAAGGCCCATTATATATGTATTCAGATTTTGATTTTCTTGAAATAACTGATTCTTGGTATTTATTCTTCTTGGGTTAGTTAAAGGCTTTAACAGTAGTAGTAGATTTGTATTTTTAATCAAGCAATCTCTGGGTTTGTCACCACTGGTGACAAACATATTTTTTTAAAAAATAAAGAAAGAAAACGAATAAAAATACAAAAATAAAAAAAACTAATTTTATATTTATATGATCGCTGATCTTTAAATCATAATTGGGTAATGATAATGTAACAAAGTTATATTAAATCCAATATAACTAACTATCGCTATATAATTATTTCGTAATATTTCGCAATAACCTTACATAATATTTCAAAATTATATATTTCACAATATTGCACAATATATTGTGTTATATTATGGCATTTTTATATTATGTAATTTATTGCACAATATTATGTACTATTAAATTTGCTAATGTATTATTATTATTATTATCATTTTCATTATCTTTATTATCTATATCTATATCATCTTCAGTTAATATATTAGCTCCTTTTTCTAATCTAGTTATAAAAGACTTTATATTATGCTTAATTCCAGTTTCATAATAATCATATCAATATTTACATCTTCCTTCCATAGCATTATAACATATTACATGATATTCATGCCTACAAATTAAAACTTCTACTTTATATTGATTTTTTAAAAGAGTATTATATAAATCATAATTAATTAATAAAGGAATTTTTTTAGTAGAATATCCACAAGGAAGTTACTTTGTTGATACAGTAATTTAAAGTGCTAGTAAATAATAATGAAAAGATTTAAAATTTGTATCTTGATATCCTAAGTCTTTAGTTAAATATATTTTTTTAAAATAATTTAATAAAAAAATAGATGTTTTTTGAATTAAATAATCCAAACTTGATTGTGTATAAGAATATTTTTTAAAATTTTGAAAGTTTTGTTTAAATTAATCATGGCAATGTAAATCTAATATATAATATATAGTATATAATAATTAATTTTATAATATTAAAAAATTGTAATTATTAAAAAATTAAAAATATTTTAAATATTTTATAACTTACCAATAACAAATACTTCTCTAATTATTTCATCTACAGTAGAATATTTTGTTGTATAAGCTTGAATTCTACTATACATATTTTCTATATAATAATTATTAAAATGAACTAAAAAACTTTTAATAGATTTAAAAAAAAGATGATTATTATCTTTCCAATAAAAAACATCTGAGAGAAAAGCTAAAGGAGCCTTATTATAATTTTTTCTAGACCATTTTAGTGCAAATGTTCAAATTCTAAAAATTGTTTCAGTATATTCTATAAATGAACCAGATCTAAATAAAATTGCATAAATATCTAAAATAGCAGGAATTATATTATCTAATAAATCAATAGCTATTCTATATCTTTACAATATAATTCAAATTTTTCTAAAATTATATTTTTAATTTTTGTCATGCTTTATGTGCTAATTCTAATAAAAGATTAATTCACCAAGGTTTAGGTTTTTTTTTTTTATCACCGAATACAAAATGAAATAGTTGTTTAAAAAATTTATAATTAATTATTAATACTGTTTCTTTACTATTTAATACAACATAAAGAGAACCAATAATTGGATGAAAATTTTTATAAACTTGAGAAATATTTGTTGCTGATTGCTGAATTTTTAAATATGTAATAATTTTTCTAATAAATAATTGTCCTGGCCAATCTGCAATTATTGGAATTACATTTTCTTTTAAATAATTATTAAGTGAAAGAACATTAACAATCATTTCAAGAGCATTAACATAATCATCAAATGAGTGTAATTCTAATTTTTTAAAATCTACAAGCTGTAAATCTTTTATTGATCTTTTTTCTTTATATTCTAAAATAGTATCTTTATATAAATGAATTGTTAAATTATCTATACTTTCAAGTTTACTAATTCAAGAGTTGAATAAGATATCCATCAAGACTTTGAATTATTATAGCTTATATCAAAAAGTAAGCTATATATTTGGTTTAAACATTTACAAAGATTATTAGCATCAATATTAATTGAATTAAATAAAGGAATATCATTATAATTAGCTGAAATAGGTATTGAAAAGTCAACTTTTTTAGCTGTACATGTTGCAAAATAGTTAGTTGAAGATAAAAAAGTATCATTTGGTTTATATATTTCATGAATTGAATGATAATTATCAATATTAAATGTATATAAATAATTTATCTATAAAATATAAAATATAAAATAATAAATTATACAGTCAGACCCTCCTAAATACAACCCTCTAAATGCAGCACCTCTCTAAATGCACGGTAACAAGCTAGGCCCATAATGGGACCTATAAGTAAATACATGTTCCTTTTTTTGCAATTGCATGATACCTTTTTCGGCCCAACTATAATGAGCTCCCTCCATAAATGCATTCATGTGATTATTAACCAATAAAATTTTAGATTTTTAGATTATTAAATGCATGTGGTCAGAATATCTTTTATACGTTAATACAATAATATGAACAGTACACGAAGGAAAATCTCTTAGAATAATGCAATACCAACCAATCTTTTAAAGACAGTAAGTTTATCATATACATAAGTGAACAAATTTGAATCTCAATAGTTTGAGTTGATTTTTTCATATAAACGATTATTTTAATAAACTATTAAATATTGTTAGTCTATTTTAGAATCATCTGATTTTTAACAAGTAAAGTAGCGAAAGATCATGACATTGATAGTGTTATAGTTTAAAGCATTTCACCTTTATTATTAACCAACTGCTTTATTTCATCTTTTATTTATTAAATTATCCAGATCTTTTATTGAAGTATTCAAATCTATTACATTTTTAATACAAGTGCTACTTTTTTTATTCAAATAACTCATTTCTTATATGTACATGTTTCAGATTTGTAATCAAACTGCGCAATATTAAATAAATTTTTCTTTATTAAAAAAAAAGAAAGTGATTCTTCAGTTACAATAGATAACATAATTCTTCTCTGCTATATCGTAGTATTCATAATAACCTAATAAGTACAGTCATACTCCCATATAAGCACCTTCTATATAAGCATATTGTCTTTATAAGCACATTAATTTATTTAACCAACTACTATTAAACATATAAAAATCACTCTCTACATAAGCACATTTTTCTATATAAGAACCTTTTTTATCGGTCTCGATGGTGTGATTATGTGGGAGTGCGACTATAATTGACAAATTTTCAAGTACAAATGAAAGTATAATCAATTAACTTTGGTTGCCCCAACAACTTTTAAGTATTATACCAAAGTTTGCTCTTTTCTATACAATATTAAAAGCAGATTATTGTTGGTATAATGTAGATGGTATTATTAATAAAGTATTTAAATTACTGATAGAATTTAAATGATACTTATCTTAATTGGTATTACAATTTGAAATTGTAATATATAATGTTGGTTCTTGATATAACTATTATTTCTCACATAGTTTCCAGGATAATTATTTTGTTTCTCAATAAAGTTAGTTATTATATATACTGATTAGTTTTTGAGTACCATAGTAGCAGAATTTTCGCAAAAATTCTGCATTCTTATATAATCATTGTTACCTGATAAGTGTTTCAAGTACCTTGGTAGCAGAATCTGTATAAAATTCTGCTTCTGACCTGTGATAAGAACAATAAATAATTGCTAGATAGCGTCTCAATTATGCAAAGTTAGTAATTTTGCTTCTATTAAGAAAAAGTTAATAGTGAAACCTAACAGAAAAGTAAAGTATTTTTAATAAATTCTGCAGTGTGTAGTCGCCTACACTAATTTTTTTATAACATGTGAAAACGATACAAAAATTATAAGCAATTAACATACCAAGATGCTTCTGAATATGATTGTATAGCTAATATAATAGGGTATTGTTCATGTTTGAATAAAATAAAGCTTTGATTAAAAAAAATATATTTTTAAGTTTTTTTTTCTATAAATAAATTCTTATATACCTATTTACTTGTAAATTGTAAGCTGCAAACATGTCTTCTACAAAACATAAAGAAAAAACTACTCTCGGCAATAAGCAATAAAAAGATATTACTGAATATAAAGAAAAACACCCAAATATCAGTCATGTTGACCTTGTTGAATAGGTGAAAAAAAATATGAGTCTTGAAGTTCATCCTTCTACCATTGGGTGTCTATTAAAAAATAAGAATAATATTGGGAATAATTTATCCACAAAAAGGCAGAAGACAGTACAATATCCAGATCTTGAAAATTCTTTACTTGAGTGGATTCTTTAAAATCAGGACTGAATTATAATAAGTGATGCTATTTTGATCGAAAAAGCAAAATCTTTTGCTCAATTGTTAAATTTATCTGATAATGGCCTCAAATTCTCACATGGTTGGTTGTATAAATTTAAAAAAAGACATGGCATAAGCCAAATAACACAACATGGTGAAGATGTGTCTGTAGATGATAATGTTGTCGCAGCTGCAATTTCTAAATTAAGAGAATTATTAAATAATTATGAGTTAAAAGATATTTACAATATGAATGAAATTGGGTTGTTTTATTGGTAAAAATAAACAATTTTAAATCTTTAATACTTAACTTGTTAATTTTTTTTTTTATTTTTCCTTTAGCCTTGAACCCAACACTACATTAGCGATAACTAGTTTTAAGGATAGAAAAAAAAATAAAGAACGATTAACTGTAGCATTTTGTGTTAACGCTAATAGAACAAATAAACTTAAGCCATTTGTAATTGGAAAATATCCAAACCCACGCTGTTTTAAAGGTATCAAACATAACAGACTTGGTGTAATATATGGAAGTAGTGCTAATGCATGGATGACAACCGTATTATTTCAACAATGGCTTAAAGAATTCGACTTAAAAGATGGCTAGTTACAAGACGATTCTTTTAATAGACGGTGCAAGATGCCATTCTTATAAAAATTTTTAAATCTTCGAAACACTACTATTTATGTTCTTCCTCCAAACATGACATCTCGTATTCAACCTTTAGATGCTAGTATCATAATGTCTTTCAAGCATCGCTACAAAAGTTACTTCATAAAATGGTTGCTTAATCAATATGAATCTGGAAATGATAATAAATTAAATATTCTTAACACTATTAAATCTATAGTCAAAGCATAGAGAGAAGTATCATCGGAAACAGTAACTAATTGCTTTTGACATACTAGTAAAATTGTTATGTGTAATTTTGTATAAGTTTCAGTAAATTAGATTTTATATAATTTTTATTATGCTATATAAAATACTAAAATTACCTTATTGTATATACAGGAATCCTTCCAGTTGATCTGAATGATAAAGAAGTGCTTGATGACGATGATGATGATGTCAAATTGATGGAAGAATTACGTGAAGATATTAAAGCGTTGCATTTTCGAAATGTGATAGATCTTGAAGAATATGTTAACCATCTAGAAGAAAAAGAAATATCTGAAGTATTAAGCAATCAGGAAATAGTGAATATAGCTACTAATCCAGAACTTGAAGAGAATAATAGTAATAAGGAGGATAATAGCACAGAAATGCGCCAAGTTACTCATAATGAAGCACTGAATGCTATAAATTTGCTAGAACAATATCTTTTTTAACAGGATCTTTGTGATACAGCCCGGTCAAAACATGATGAGGCTTTGTCAAACTTACAAAAAGCGATTAGAAAATTACGAAAAGCATCTTTTAAGCAAATAGATTTTGAAACATTTTTTGAGTTGGTCAATTAATCTTGTAATAAAAAAACTAAGTTGTTCAAGTAAGTATTAGATATTTTTTGAAACTTTTTAAAATATAAGTAGATAACATGTAACTTAACAGTCTTCAATTGCTTTAAAGCAGTACTTTTTTAAAAAAATTAGCCTTGATCTATTACTTTTGTCAATGGAGAAAACAAATTACAGGTCAATAAATTAAATATTCTACTTATTTAAAAGTGAGAGGACATGTATATTTGAATAACAAATTAAATAAAGGAACATGTATATTAGTTACACGATTTGTCACACTATTTTGCTTGTAAATTTTTATATATATAAAATTATAAAAAAACATATAAAATTACTATAAA